GATAGCATCAAGAGCCTCTCTTATCTCCTCCGCGGTGAATGGCTTAGTGAGGTATACATTCATCTCAGGCGTAACCGACACATTTATATGGCGGAAAATGTCATCATTTAGGGGGCCTGCAGAAGATACAAATAGACTTCGGTAAAAATCAGTGATAAAGGGTCCTATTTCTTCCTTCCTCTCCACAACACTTCCATCATCCCTCTTCAACCTCCGGATCATATTCACCCTCCTTCTCTCCGAAGCATGGGCATGGAAAAAGCCATTGTTTCGATCACCAAATTTGAGCCAATTGACATGCGCCCGCTATTGCCAGTACACATTATATTGGTCCTCCAACTGGCTAAGTCTGTACCGCAGCAACTGTTCGCGAGAGACTTGTAGTTGGTTAATGGCTCCTCTCCGACACCGCTCTAGCTCCCTTGGGACCCCCTTTATTATGTGCTTCAGTTCGCCCAGGACCTCCCTGTCCCATTTCAGTAGGCTTGCACCGACTCTCTTCAAGGCCTCGCCAACTTCTGTCTCTCCTTCCTAGAACGCATTATTCCATGCCTCCTCCACAACCTCATGACACCCTTCCTCCTGTAGCCACCATGCCTCGAAGCAGAAACATCTTTGACCCCTTCCAACGCCCAGGGATTTATCTTGCGCATTTAGTTCAGCAATAACGGGGCGGTGGTCAGAATGTCTCGGATCCCTGTTAATGATTTTGTGCAATGGAAACAAGCACCTCCACTCAACATTTGCTACTGCCCTATCCAGTCGCTCCTTTGTATACCCGATCGTGTCTCTCCAGTTATTTCTCCATGTGAACGGGTCGCTGACAAAGCCCAAGTCCTCAAGCTCACAGTGTTCCAAGGTTCTTCTGAAGGCTTGCATGCTTCCCTGGGCCCGAGCCGGCCCTCCTTCCTTCTCTCCCGCAAATAATATTTCATTAAAATCACCCATGCAAACCCACGCTAGCTTGTCCTGCCCATGCAGATTTCGAAGAGCCCTCCATGTACTCTCCTTATCCTCCGCCTTTGACTCTCCATACACCTCGGTGAACCTCCATTTGCTGCCATCCTCCTGCACCACATCAATAGTAATGTGGTATTTCCTCTTCCATCTTAACTGAACATCTATCCCTCTCCTCCAAAAAAGCACCAGCCCACCACTCCTCCCCACACAGTTCACCGCCACCATGTTCACCCTATTCAATCTCCACCTCAAGAAATCCACTTCCTTCTCGGTCATTTTGGTTTTCGAGAGGAAGAGGATGTCAGGCTCTTCGGCCTTCTGGAGTTCCAGAAGGCTACGAACTGCCGCGGGGTTCCCAAGCCCCCAACAGTTCCATGAGATAACTTTCATTGCTGCTCGCAGGGCTGTTCTGACAGCCCCGCTCTATTTTCCGTCAGTGTGGCCACCTTGGTTTTGCTTTTCTTCACATCTCCTGCCATCTCTGTACCACATTCCATAGCATCACCTCCCCTCTTCGACCCCAGGTTTACTCCCAACGGTGATCCCTCCGCCTGACTACCGTTACGTGGCTTCCTCTTGTATTTCGTCCCACCTTGCTTTCCTGCTTGTTTCAGATCTGCTGTCATCATCACGTTTTCCTTTCTTTCCCCACTGCTCTCCTCCACCCCCACACCATCTCCTTCTTCCTTCTCTACAACAGTGTTTACTTTCTCTACCAGAGCTAGCGTTAGCGTAGTCTCCCTCACTCCCGGCATATGCCCACTAACTGGTACCTCCGAGGTGCGAGCACTGCTAAAGTTTAGTTGCTTTCTGATAGATCACTCATGTATCTCTTCCACCCCATCACTACTCTTTTGCTCGACCTGCATAGGATCTGTAGGCTTCTTCAGCGGGCTAGTGACCTCATCATCCGGTGTTTCCTTCTCTGTAATTTTATGCCCGGCTCCAGGCTTATCCTTTCGCCAACTGTCACTGTCACTGCGTGTTCTAACTCTAGAGGTTCCTGGGTTCAGACTCCTACCGCTCCCACTGCCCCGTCCATCAAACCTGCCTCTTCCGTGGCTCCAGCTCCCCTGCTATTCTCACTCGTAGGCCCGGGGATATAGGCCTTAAGCCATGAGCCATATTGCTTGGTTTCCCCCTTCTTCAACCTGACCGAGTAGTCCTTCTCCACATGGTCAAGCATGCCACAGACGTAGCATAAATCTGGTAGAAACTCATACTCGAAGCGACGCCATTTCTCCTCCTCCCTCTTCCTCTTCTCATATGCAGTCACTGCCCTTTTCCCTTCCTCCTTATCCTCCTCATCATCCAGAACAAAACCTCTCATAATTGGCTTTGATATATCCATGCGGATCTTGACCCGAAGATACTTTCCTATTGCCATGCCATTAGTCCCCGCATCAACCTCCAGGGCCTCTCCAACAATGTCCCCGATTGCTAGGCTAGCCTCCCTACACATCATCCCGAGGGGAAGGTCATAGACTCGAACCCATATTGGAATTGTCTTGAACTTGTAGTCCTTGGCAGTTTTCTCGGGTCATAATCCTCGACCACAAGCAATGAATTTCCAAACATCCAAGGGCCCTCATCCAGGGCTTTTCTTTTTCCTGAGTGCTGACAGAAAGTAAACATGTAGATGTTATCCCCAAGATCCGTGCACTCCAAACCTCTCAACGGGCACCAAACTTTTCCAAGGGCGTTCTCCATGCCTTCTGCATAAGCTGGCTTGTCGGACAGAAGTTTTGCTAGAGCTTGTGGTTCCATGACCCCACTCTTTGCTCCTCCTGACCAATCAATTTTCCTACCTTTGCTCTCCAGATCTGACAACTTGAGGCTCTTCATCAAACCTTCCACACGCTCCATCTTCACCAGCACTGACCGGGGAAGAGACCAGACCAAATCTCCCGATTGGGGGAGGGGAACTACAATTCGGTGTCTCGCGATGGCGCACCTGGCAAGCAGACCTGAAAACTGGAGGGAGGTGGACGCGGGGGAGGGGGCCAGGGGCGGTGGTAGCGAGCGCTCGAGGGGACGGCGGCCGGAGAGGGCGAGGCACCTCGGGGGCGGCGGCGAACCCTCATAATCACCACGAGACCTAACCTTCACACCTAGGACGGACCAATTGAACTGGCCTCGCCAGGTTGAAGTTGCTCTAAGAGAGAAGGAGAAGCATCGCGTTCCACTAGAGCGTCGAGTCTTTCTGGAAAAAAACTAAGGCTCCGTTCGGCTCAGAGGGAGAAAAAACGAAGGAATAAATAACTGCATAGGTATAGAGTTGAGTGGGAAGAGCAAACCTATGGCCTGTTTGCTTTGCAGGAAGGTAAGTGTTTATAGCCGGCGCACTGGCTCAAAATTGCGCCGGTCGCACCCGCTCTCGTGTGGCCCCGCATCGCTCTGCCCCTTTCCCTTATCTTCTTCCCTTCGATCTAGAGCGTTCTTGGCCACAATTCCCCACCGCTGCTACCCACCACTCCTTCTCCTTCTTCCAGCTCCCCTCCCCATCGGTGCTGCCCACCTCTCCCTCTCCTTCCTCCGCCTCCCTCACCATTGGGGCTCCCCACCTCTCCCCCTCCTTCCACCTCAAGCCGCCAGCGCTTCCACAAGTAGGCGGGGCTGCGACGACCGTCCAACGACAACTGCCGCGAAGCTTCAACACCGGTGCTACGACGGGGCGTCGACCGGTGTTGTGGACGGGAGAAGCCTTCGGCGCCGTGGACAGGAGAGTCCACCGGTGGTTCAACTTCAGCGACGCCCATTGCTGGAACCGGCTCATGGCGGTGCTGGAACCAGCACTAATTTTTGCTACCATCGGCACTTTGGTTTGCTACCACCGACGCCAATTCTTTGCATTTTGTTACAACCGGTGTTTTGATTTGCTGGAACCAGCTTCAATTTTTGCTACAACTGCCGCATTCGCTTTTTGCTCGAAGAACGCCCAATTTTGCTACTTTGCTACAAATGGTGTTTTAATTTGCTACAACCAGTTTCAATTTTTGCTACCACCGGTGTCTTTGATTTTGCTAGAACATCCTTCCACAAAGGCTCCTTTTTTTGCATTTTTGCTTCCACTGTTTTTGGTTTTGCTGGAACTAAAACAAAGATTTGCTACTACTGCTGTTGGCTTTGAGCCATGGTTTTCTGCTGCTGAGCTTTTTTTGCTGGAACTATCATTTAATTGTGCTGGAAGTGACATTTTTTGTTGCAACCGCCTTCGCGTTTTGCTACGACCAGGGAAGTTTTTTGCTACATCCATGCATGGCTCCAGAGTCGGCGAGAAACACCGGAGACGACGACGGCGAGGGGCGGCAACCGGCGGCAAGGGCGCGGGCGGCGGCAAGCGCGATCCGCCATGGACGCGGGCTGTTGGTCAACGGACGAGAGGAGGCACGAGGACGAAGCGGTACGTCCAGAGGATGCCGCATCCAGCGGCTGGGCATAAACAGATCGAGCTGCTACGCGCTGACCGGCCCAAATTTGGGCCGGCGCACCGGCGCCTATAAGCGCCCTTGCAGGAAGAGGCACTATTGAGAAGTACGATGGAGAGATGGGTGTCAGTACTGATTATAGTTGTTTATTGTCTTGAAAAGGATGACCTCTCACACCTCTCATGCAACTGCATTGTTTATTCGGCCGCACCACCCTAGAGCCAGCTCTTAGCCTCGGGCCTCCACGAGAACATGAGGTTTTAGTGGATTTTAGATTTCCTGTGAAAAATACAGGTTTTTGTGACTATCCGGTGGAACAGACGACTAATATTCCTCTGAAACGAACGCACTACCGGTAGGAATTCCTATGGTAACCCTTCCTCCAAAAGTTCCTGCAAAATTCCTGTATACCGAACGCGGCCTAAAGCATCGAGTCGGGCACGGATATTTTGGATCACCGACCCAGCAAACCTACCGTTTCGCTTGTCTCTCGGCCATCCATATCCCCAAACCGAATCCTTCGCTCCCAGATCAAGAAAGAATCCTTCGCCCCCCAAAGAGCTTTTTACGCGTCTCCGCCAACGCCGCAGCCGACGAAACCCTAGCATCGCGATGTTGTCGTCGAAGGAGCCCCTGGGTCCTGGACATGCCTTTCCCGGCGACTGCTATCCCAGCCATCTGCCCAGCTTCGAAATCCCCACAGATCTTTTTGGTCCCTTTCCCCGGCATGTTCATGAGACTCGCGAGGAGGCCCCCATCGATGTGTTTAGATTCGAAATCGCCCCAGATCTATTCGGTTCTACCCACCATCGTCTCCTTGATGCGTTCGAGGAGGAGGAGGAGGAGGAGGTGGTGGTGGTGTTGGCGGAGAAGAAAGAGAGAGGGTTCCTCGAGAGCGGTGAGTATTACCGCCTAGCTTCTCTATGTTTTCTAATCTTTTGCGCCGATTTAGCTAGGCTTCCTATCGATCAAACTTTTGGGTAACCGCGCAGAATCAGAGTCTGAATCTGAGTTGCCTAGCTGGGACGACATTCTCGTGGGCGCTGGTGTTGAACCTGTTGATGGCGTCAACTTGTCCGACTTGATGGATTACGATCCGCTGGCAGTGGATGCCGACAACGAGGAGACAAACTGCCCAGGTATATAATTAGATACCACTTTCGTCATGTGTCCAGATAACGAAAAACAGTTAATTGGTCAGTCGATCCTACACTGATTTGTTTTTTCAGGGAAGAAATTTCCCGAGGCAACAGCAGCGAAAGTAGACGATATATGGAGTAGGATTTACACCAGACGCAACATCGAGTACCAGAAGAAGTGTGAGGAGATTGAAGCAAGTGAAGATGAGAATGCCACATTTCCTTCTTATCCTCTCAAAATACTCCCTGAGGCAACAGGTCTATGTGTCTTGAGGGGCTTTTGCCACCACCGTGAATATAAAACCCATGATACTTCCACTAGTAAGCTTGTCGATCTCATTCATTCCTAGCTAACCCAGCGATTAATCTGCGACTGTGATCTACCTATGTTTGTTATAACAACTTTTGCTATCACTATATTTTGCAGCTAGATCAAGTCTTGGGTTACGTGATCCAAGACTGATGCTACAGATCTTTGCGATGCATTTATCAATCTCCGAATCCTATTCCTACCCCGTTAGCGTCTATGGAATTGTTGCTGTTCGGGATGCCTTGGAGCCACTACGGAATCTTGTGTTTAACCGTCCCTGCAGAGATGATGCTTTTACGGTTGACCAGGTAATTGATCGAGCTAGGCTTGGTTCTGTTTCCATGTAACTTTTCAGTTGCAGTGCATGTGAGATTTTTGTTGTTCTGATTCTTCATTACTTGGTTGGATCCACTAAAAGGAAATTATATATGCATTTAGTCCTCCATTTTCTGTGTAAATGGTATAATTATACATTTGCGGTAATTCTGTGATTCGTTCTTTTTGTTATCTGTGTCACTTTTGGTCGACAAAAAGGGCCACTGAATCTTGACTACCTGTACCAATAATTGCACTATGCTGTGCTGTCACCCCTTTCAGTATGTTCTCCGGCGTCAACACGCTATCAGTTCCATGCCCATCAGATCCTGCAAACTTTATATGATTGTGCTGCCAAAAGCATGGAAAAGTAGTCATGTTTGATTATCCTAACATAATTATAAAATGTTTACTCTATTTCTTTATTACACAAGTTGTGTTTTGACTCCCTGCAAAGCAACACATATTTCTCTACGCGCAGGCATTAACATGTTATGGACTCCTGGAATTCTGATCTAGTTGTAACATCAATAGCACATGAAACTAGTCATCTTCTGATTTACAAGGCATATTTTTTTTTACCAACTATGCATAGGGTGCTTAGAAGGTTCTAGATCAGACTATATTGGCTAGGGGGAGATGATTATGATATCCCCAGTCTTCCTGTTTTAGGAATTAGGAATTACAGAGATAGTAATACAGGTGAATGGAGGTTTTTTTTTTGCACCTGGGCACAGTTGCCCATTGAATCTGAGCCATCCATGTCTGTCGCAGGATAGGTGCCCATTCTTTTAGGAATCACAAATACTAATTAAGTACATTCTCATATAGGCCCACCATGACATAGTACAGGTTAATCGGCCTTCCTCTCTTGCCTATCCCCTTCTCTCTCACCTCTCCCCATACAGTGAGCTTGGCCATAGGAGCCGCTGCTCCACCAGTCCAGGTTAGTATGGCCTGATCTACCCATCGTCGTGGGAAGACTATGTTCCCACGGCTGTTGTGTCTTTGAGGTTTGCTCCCATGGCCTCTGCGTGGTCCTGGTCCACTCTGACAGGATGCGCTGCATAGATCGTACGGAACCCAATGTGTATGTTGGAGAAAACAATAGAATACGGACTTGTGCTAAATTCATTGTAAGTTCCCACTGTTACCTATCTCAAACCGCAAGTCCGGTGCTGATGTGGTTTGCACCTGCATCTTTGGCGCACAGAAGCATTTTCCAAGTGTATGTTGAAGAGGGGGTGGCGGTATATATGAGTGAGTGGAGAAAGGTTGAAAATGCATGCATGTAAAAGAAATGCCAAACAGCGTCTGGCTTGTACTTTCAAACAGAACTACTTCCTCTGTTCCTAAATATAAGTCTTTGTAGAGATTTCACTATGGACCACATACGCATGTATGTAGATGCATTTAGAGTGTAGATTCACTCATTTTGCTTCGTATGTAGTCCATAGTGGAATCTCTCCAAAGACTTATATTTAGGAACGGAGGGAGTAGATTTTAGTCCAAATATGATCATGCATGTCTTGCCGAGTTAATTTTGTCGATATATACTGATGTATCCCAAACTGGGTTTATATATCTTGTTGAGTTCTAATGCTTACTAATATTTTTTAATTGCAGGATTCCTTAACCTTGCCTCTTTGTAGTCCTCGTCGAGGAATGTATATAGTAAGGGACAGAGCATTACTAGAAGTTGATCTTTGGGTAAAGGAGGAAGGAGATGGGTCATCTGACAAACAGTTGCTTTCTTTGTATGCTGAGTTTGAGGGGATGTACGAGTTAGATGAAATGCTAGATGGAGAGGTTAGTAGTGACCTTGGCAGCTTGGTCATTGACTATCTCTTGCTTGATGAGAGTGTTGAGGCTGTAATACAAGTCTCTGCAAAGATTGACTGCCCTCATCATATGAGATTCACTGCATTCACTAGTGGCTTTGATGGTGAGATTGTGCTGTTTGATGATAAGTTCTCTGGGAATGGAAAACTGTTCCAGTATGTTGTCGCGGTGAAGGCTGAGGGGAAATTGGATATTTGCTTAAAAATGGAGGAATCATTGTTTTGGTGGACTTTCCAGGAAGGAGCTGTTGGAGCTGTTAGGTTCCCGGATGACTCAGTTTTAAATTACGGGCAGTTTGAGGTGACGGTGCTTTTTGCTCCTAAGAAATTTACCATGGATGACTGAAACCTGATCTGTAATATCGGTGTTTTTTTATCTTCTATACTTCCTCTGTAACTTAATATACATTGATCATTTCTACTACTTCTTCGGTCCCATAATATAAGATGTTATTACATTCATAGACAACATATTATATTATGGGATGGGAGGGAGTATTCGAATATCCATTTGTAAGCCTCCTAGAAGCTTGACGCTTTAATTAACGTTGTCTATGAATGTTTAATTGCAGCAGATACTTTGAAATGCGTGTATGCATGCATACTGTCTTCTTGCTTGGTAGTGTTTCGAGTTGCATTTCTCTAAAAATGTTGACACCTCATCTGTCCACCCTCTCTCTTTTTTTTAAAGCAACCATATACTCCCTCCGTCCCAAAATATGTGTCTCAAGCTTTGTACTAGCTCTAGTACAAATTTGTACTAAGCTCAAGACATTTATTTTGGGATGGAGGGAGTATTTCATTAGACAAACTGTTTTCAGAGATTACGCATACGGTCATCATATGAGACACAAATGCTTGTCAAGCAACTTTGTACAAAGAATTTCACAAGATGTGAAACTACTATTCCACCCTTGTAGAGACACTTATTTTGGAACGGAGGGAGTATTTCATTAGACAAACTGTTTTCAAAGATTACACATATGGTCATCATATGAGACACAAATGCTTGTCAAGCAACTTTGCACAAAGAATTCCACAAGATATGGAACTACTATTTCACCCTTGTAGAAACTCATGCCTCGCCGAAACATAGTCCACAAACATCCTCCGCCGCCACCATGGCAACGCCGGAAAAAGATGAGAATAGCCGCCATACCAAGATCTAAGAGAGCACCATCGCATACAAAGATGCTTTTTGAGCCGTTGAAGCGGGTCACCGCAAGCGACGAGATCGAGTCTTTATGGCACATAGGCCGGGGATCTTCCCCGTGGTCATCAGATCTCGACGCCGTCAACTTCATCCGATGTAGTCGAAGAAGAAGAACGTCGCCGCCTGCCATCATCCACACACCCAGCTGCAAGACAGTAAACATAACTACAGCAACCGACACAACAACGCCATCGGCCGACTACCAGACATGAACCTCGCCAGATCCAGAGATCGGCGAGACGACCGGGCCACCTGCCCCCCAACGCTACCAGTTGCAGCGACGACGACATGGAGGAAGAGCAGACGCGAATTATTTCGACGCCGCGCCACCTCCTCCATGAAAACACCGTCTCAAGGAAACACTAGGCCAACCCTACCTACAGACCTATGCCGAAGCAACAGGGTCCCCACCCCTCCGGCCACCGGAGCGGCGAACAGAGGAGGCAGGGACCGACGGCAACGACTTGGAGGCCGGTGTGGTTGGAGGCAGATGCGTCGCCTCCTGAGCGTCTGTCTCGGGCGGTTCCAGGAGCGAACCGCTACGCTGCACGGGAGCAGATACTTCATTCTTCACCCTTTGTTTTAACGTCATTGCACAATATTCTTACGTCACATAATTTTTGTGGACTTTTCACTTGTATTTTAATTCTCTTGTGCCAATTTTTGCATATTCAATCAATATGAACGTAACTATCTGTATACCGATTTTTAAGAATACACGACATTGCCAGTTTACATATTCGGAAACTCTGTAGTTATTGGGCAATTATACCGAAACAAACACCTCCCAAGATTTGTTGTTGGCTTTTCTTGTACGAGAGAAATCAAAGGAGAAGGCTGTCAGTGAATTGACTAGTCTTAGCTTCACCAGGAGCGAGATTTTTGAGGCTGCAACCATATTTGCTAAAGCTCCAGATCACAGGAACGAATACACAAGGGTGAATACACCTATAGGCTAGCAGAACACTAATTCACATAAACAAAATCTGATAGATGAATTACTTCCCAAAGTAACAAAGCATCAACTAGTCAGTTCACACAAAACACGCACTATATTTTACAAGTGCGAAACTAAACAAATAGCATGTTGCAAGCACTTTATCAAATCTGAACATTACACATCTCAAGTTCACAGAAAATTTAGAGAGAGAACGGCAGCAACAACACAAAATGGTGTAGAAGAGGCAGCTGGCGTCGTCGTCATCGTGCTGATGGTGAAGAGGAGGAGCAACATGGGTGCAAGGAGAGGCGCAGCAGCAACAGAGGTCGCAGAAGAGTAGAAGTAAGGTGGTCATTTCCTAGGTGAAGAGGAGCAGCAGCAAGATTGGGAAGAAGAGCTTCAGATCGGTGGCGTAAGGAGGTGGAAGACGAGGTGCAGCAAGGGGCTCATCGATGGAGCAGCGAGGAGCTCCTGATGGTGATGTGGTGGTGGCGTGCCACCACGTCTGACTGGCCGTGGCGGCGGACGGGGTTGGAGGAGTTTGCGTGGAAGAAGAGGAGAAGGGCCAGGTCCAAAAGGGGTCAATAGGGGTTTTACCCCTCTCGATCTGATCTTCACACATTTCCATTTTGCCCCTTCTCTTTTCTTCTTTTTGTCAAAGATGATCCCTCCATCTTTAGTTTGGACACCCTGGTTACTTCTTTTCTTCACGCTCAAGCCCTTTGACGTATTGATGCAGATGATGCTCATCATACCCCAACACTTGAACTTTTACCTGTCCTCAAGTAAAGACACACCGACAAAGGCTAGATAGTGAACCGTGAATTAAGTAAAGTATGTCTCCGAACATTGCTTGCTTTGGACTTTGCTAGTGAAAACCGTTGGTTAGAAGTGCTACAGAGCAATAGTAAACTCGATCATTTTAAAATTTACACTGATAAAAGAAGATTAACAAGTTCAAATGTTTGATTGTGTGGAAAGATCCTAAAGAGAGCCTGATCCTACCAAATACATGAAATAAAATTGAATATCATGTGACACAGTCACTTATTAGAAAGAATAAAACATTGCAGTTGAACCATTTATTTAACAGCAAAAATTTGAACCAACCAACCAATTTCACCATGAGAGCATAACACCGATCCCGAGATCATGATATACACCAGGTTTAACTATTTAGTGGCTTAACCATTTATTTATATTTTGATAACTAGTCTCCCATAAGAACATACCACCGATCCTGATCATGACATCCTCTAGGTCAAACTAGTTACTGGCTTAAATTTATTCATTTATTTAGCAAGGAAAGTAAATACCCAATCATACCAGATTTCACATGTCACCGATCCCAGGACCATGGCATACTACTGTTTGCAAGATTAGATAGGATGATTCAGTACCACTTATCAAACAAAGAAATAATACAAGGATACAAGAATCTTCACTAGACCACATTTGGTTCACATACTGCCGTTCCAGGGAACATAGTATGCTAACCTAAAGTTGTTAAGTGATGGCTTCGAATGGGAACACAATTGGCACAAACTCAGCATTTGAACTTAATGATCTAGGTGTATCGGAGTGAAAGCAGAAAATGATGCAGTTTACCAGTGTACTAAGGATTTGAGCACTTGAACAATTAGCTTTTACTACTTTCAGCAAAGCAGGCATTGTGTAGATCATAAGTTTACAAGGCATTCGGTAATCTTGGTTCGCTTATTCACATCAAGCACAAAATGTGGAGGTAAAATTCAGCATGACAACATTAAGAATTGAATCAAGCAAATAGCAATTTCACAAGATTGATTTGAGGATGTATTAATCATGTTCAGTAAGGGTCATGAAACAGCTCACCAGGCTTTCCTAATGTAGCATGCGCTTGATCACTCTCTAACTTTCTGCAAACTGCAGCTCTTCTCCTTTTGCTTTTCTATCCTTATGCAGGCTCCAGCTTATCTCTTCCTCGTGTGTGTCCATTGCTTCTCCTCATCACAGTGCTCTGAATCCACCAGGGTCCCAAGGAACATCATCTCGAACTTGGTCAGCTCAAAGTGAATGGTGCACAAGCGTAAACCTGCAAGAACACTAGACAAACAAGCCAATACAAGTGATAGGGACAATGCCCCCTAAGGAATCAATAGAGTACCCTATCATATAAGCATATCATAAACAGATATCCTTAATAAATCAAATGGTGCACAGGCAGTATTAATGGTATGAGATACCTTGTGGAGAAAGCTGAGATCATACCTGAGATAGTTAGGGAGAAGTTTTAGGACTACCTCAATGGAAGATGCCATGGAATGCATTGTAGTGGAAACTTCCACAGGGTTCGTTTCAACAAATGAAATAATAGATCTTAGCTCCTTGACATCTGAAGCTGCCACACTATAATCACAATGAAGATCCCCATCTCAGGCTAAGTGTTGAGGAATCAATGTGGCTAACATCATCGAAGGCAAACTTCTCCATATCTGGTTCTAGCAGCACATGTATCTACTAAAGGTGACTCCTCAGCATCAATAGAAACTGACTGCAGCTCTGGATCATCCATGAAAGGATCATGAAAATGAAAAATTAAATCTCCATCACTAGTGCCCCTATTATCTGTAGTATTTGTGTCAACTAGAAGGGTATCATCATCGTCAAAGATAATCCATGCAAGCTCAATCTTGTCACAGTGAGAAAGTGGTTCAGGCTTTTGTGTAAGAATTGGTTGCTGAGGTGAAGTAATTTGCTGCAAGCAAACCAATGAATCTGATTTGGGCTTCTGATTGTGTCACTGAAGTTGGTGGAAAGCCATGTTCTCAATTAGCAGAAAAGCATCATCAAGTGTCTTGTTTGTAATATATCCACCAGCTACCATATCTACATTGGATTGAGTGTCCAAAGTCAATCCTCTAGAATATATATGTAGGTCTAACCATTTCTCTAACCCATGATTAGGACATTTCCTGAATAAAGCCTTCTCTCTCCCAAGCATCATACAAGCTCACGCCTTCACGCTGAACGAAGTTGAAGATCCCATTTCGAATCGCGGACTGCTTATGTAATGGGAAATATTTATCCAAGAAAGCTTGTGATATCTCATTCCAACTGTATGACCTTGATGGCAAGGATGATACCAAGCACGAGCATCATCTCGTAGAGAGAATGTGAACAACATGCACTTGATAGCATCTTGAGGAACTCC